CACAAGCCGCCTTCGCAGACGACTTCCAAGTCTGACGGTCCTTGCCACAGAAAAGATGGACCCCAATCGCCGAAGTCTGCTTCCGCCGCCTCCGCTCCCGGCGATTCCACGGAACCTTTGCTCTATTCAAGGAAGCCGGGACCGCCGATATCAACCACGAAGGAGCTCCAGGGAAAAGACGACGAAGCCAGGCCCATGACACCCCCACACCTCTCCGTACAGCTTTGGCACCCAGCTGCCAATCCATAGCCGGCCTCTCCTTGCAAGTCTCCACCAACTTGCATGCAGCGAGTTCAGCCTCTCGTCGACGAAGCTTGGTCGCCTCGGCTTCACCAATCAATTCCAAACCCAGGCCGGCGTCCAGCTCTGGGCAGCCATTCACGACACTTTTCGAATCTCCAGCTGTAGCCGCCGACGAAGCTCCCCCCCCTTGCCCGTTGTCGGGCACTGAGGCTTGAGATGGCTACTGCTGCCGCACGTCCAACAATGACCTGGCCCGAGGGGATCATGACGAAACATGCAGTTCTGTGCGTACTTGCAGCCCGAGCCATCATTCCACGACCAACATGGCTGCTTGCTTTTTCCTTTGCCCTTCCCCTTTCCTTTGTCCCCTGCGTCATTGAGGTTGGTCTCCTCCATGCGATTGAGCTTCGGCTGCTGCGCAATGGGCTGGGCCAACAGTGCCGCCTCCAACTCTCCCAAGATCAGCTGAGCGTAGTCCTCCACATCTGAGGCCTTCGCCTTGTAGTCCAGCTGACGCTCCAACTTGAAGCTGGCGATCCTGAACGCAGCGCTAGGGTGTTTACTGGGGGTAAACACCTGAGCATGAAGCTTGTCCAGCCCTCGACAAAGGAGACTCGGGTCGGGTAGTACAACTTGAAGCTCCTTTCCCCTCCGAAGTAGACGAATCCACTTACGAATCGACGCCACCGCCACATCCACAGCGCCCCCTGTGTCTGGAGACGTCAAGAAGTGAAGAAGAAAGGCTTTCTCTGCCGACCCGCCTGGCTGAAAGGAACAGTGCACCAAGAACACCATTGCCAAAACTGTGACCGCCCTGACTGAAACCGCTTCGGCCTTGAGGTCTTCCGGCAGACTGTCAAGTAACAACATAGAGGCCCGCTGCTCCACTCGTTGATAACGATCC